TTAATGAACAATCAAACAGAAACTTCTCTTGTCTTCAGTAAAGATAAACAAATGATTCCAGGCTTTATGAAACTGGTGACTTCCTAATCTTGCCCACGAAGGACAGGCAACTGTCTTCAATAACTTCTTTACTTTAAAGGAAAGTCCCCTTTATAACTTCTCCCAGGCTGACTGTAATCTAACCCTTACTGATGTGGGCTCCGCTACTGGGTCGAACTGCTTCTCGAACGCCGAGTGGACCTACCAGTAAAGGCTTAGATGTTCTCCAGCTGGAGTTCTTTGGTCTTTAGGGCTGTTTCCCTGGAAAGTCTTTGGAGACTCTTAAGACTGTTCTCTCCCCGGAAAGTCTTGGATGCTCTTAAGACTGTTTCCCCCCGGAAAGTCTTAAGGGTTGAAGCTTTTGTACAGGGGAAGCTTGCACATGTCCTGTACATTAGTTTTCCTTGCTGAGACTGACTAAAAATGGCTCCCTTCCCTTCCCATTTGCCCTGAGCAAGGGGCGGGACCAAAACTTAATGAGGATGGACAGGTGACTTGCCCTATGACTGCAACCAAAGGAAGCCACTCCTTGAAACCTTGGACTGCAACCAAACACTCAATACAAAGCAAATAAAGTTGGAGCTCCTGGTACAGCTGTACCAGCACACTAGTGTTGTGTAGTGGCTTGAGGGATTGGTCTATACATCTGTAGAATGGGTTCAATTCCCACATTGGCTATGAAATCCCACTTGGGGCCTCATCACATCCAACTCTCTCCCCACTTCCATTTCCACACGCATTGAAAACATCTCATAGACAAAGCAACACGGATCTCATCATACAATGCAAGGGAACTTCTGCCTCTTGCCTGAGTTGCTTTGTCTCTGAAGTGTCTCTGAAGTGTAGGGAAATGGAGAACTGGAGTCGGTTAGAAAGTGTCTTCTGAGCTCCTGATACACATGGAAATGGGAGAAAGGGGCGGGGGGGGGGGGGACAGGTGGGATAGGATCTATCAAATTTGCCATGTTGGCATGGAGTCATTGGCATTTCTAGATCTCCCACCAAACCCTGATTCATTTCCCCTCCAAAATCCTGCTTCTGGGTTGGTATTTTTAAGAATGAATTAAAATATTAGAAATAGTGCAATCTCCAGATATCACCAATTTGTTGTTTCTGATATTTCTGATCCATCATTGTTTGAGTCCACAGTGCTCTCTGGATGTAGGTGAACTACAACTCCAAAACTGAAGATCAGTGCCCACCAAACCCTTTTCTTTTGGCCATTTTCTTTTGGCCATGGGAGTTCTGTGTGCCAAGTTTGGTTCAATTCCATTATTGATGGAGTTCAGAGTGCTCTTTGATTGTAGGTGAACTATAAATCCCAACAGCTACAACTTCCAAATGTCAAACTCTATTTTCCCCCAAACTCCACCAGAGTTCACATTTGGTCATATTGAGTATTTGTGCCAAGGTTGGTCCAAATCCATCATTGTTTGAGTCCACAGTGCTCTCTGGATGTAGGTGAACTACAACTCCAAAACTCAAGGTCAGTGTTCACCAAACCCTTCCGGTATTTTCTGTTGGTCATGGGAGTTCAGTGTTTGGTTCAATTCCATCATTGGTGGAATTCAGAATGCTCTTTGATTGTAGGTGAACTATAAATCCCAGCAACCACAACTCCCAAGTGACAAAATCAATCCCCGCCCCCAAACCCCACAAGTGTTCAAATTTGGGCATATTGCGTATTTGTGCTATATTTAGTTCAGTGAATGAAAATACATCCTGCATGTCAGATATTTACATTATGATTCCTGACAGCAGCAAAATTACAGTTATGGAGTAGCAATGAAAACAATGTTAAGGTTGGGGTCACCACAAGATGGGGAACTGGATAAAGGGGTCGCGGTGTTAGGAATGTTGAGAACCACTGTTTTACAGGGTAAAGATCTTGCAGAAGTACAGTTCCCATGACTGTGTCATGGCAATTAATGTGGGGTCAAGCTACATTAATTCTAGAGTGTAGATGCATCCTAAATCTGAATGTTGGTGCCTCACCAAACTACACAGAGATAGACTGCTTTAAATATGGAAAGTCTATTGAATATATATATATAGTTACAGAGCAAGAGGAAGTGCAGACTCACCTTGTAACTGTAGAGTATCCTTCCATTTGCTCTTCTGGATGCGGCATGTCCATGGTGTTATCATGCTGATTTATCGTACTATGAAATTTGAGGACTGTCATTTTCTTTTGCTCCTGAGCTGTATAAGGAAAGTCCCTTGTCTTTTTCCTCTATTTTTCCTGTCTTAGAATTTGGCACTCAAATTTCCTTTACCATGTTTTGCATGATAAACAACAAAATTCACCCTGCAGAATTAATTTTGCATCTATATATTACTAGTACTAGTTCATTTTGAAGCACAGGCATTCAAAGCAAAGTCATTTCATGTTTCTGTCAGGTTCTTTTCTTCCTTTTCCCATCATTTGGTACTTCCCACTGCTCTGGGTATGAAGCCTTTTTAATATAGGTGGATTGAAACGTGCAGATACTATCGGTCTCAAAAGATAAGCAGCAGCCAAGTGTGGAGGTTAATAAATAAACAAGCCATGACTCTATGTTGTACCTTATCGCCAAAAAGGAGAAAGAGGGGAATGCCTTGGCCTTTCTTCCCTCTATTCAAAGGGAACTCCCAGATTCCCAGATTTTGCAGTTACTCTGCCTTGGTTTTATATGTTCAGGATAAAGATAAGATAAAATGCCATACTCATAAACTGTTTTATTCCAGTAAGCTTGTTTCATGAGTAAAGATGTAAAATTGAACTCAATGACTTCATTCTCCTCTAATGATATGAAATGATATGAAATGACTCACTGGGTTTCACCTAAAGAGTTTCAATATACCTTACTAAAGGTGCAAAGGTCTGCCATGGCAGGGGGTTGGACTGGATGGCCCATGAGGTCATGATGGTTGTCGGAGGCTTTTATGGCCGGAATCACTGGATGGTTGTAAGTTTTTCAGGCTATATGGGCATGTTCTAGAAGCATTCTCTCCTGACATTTTGCCTGCGTCTATGGCAGGCATCCTCCCAACCTGAGATCGGATTACGTTTTTATCTAGGTGACAAAAATGATTTGTTTTTACTAACTGTTATGATCTTATATGATATGTCAATGTTTTTAAATGTTTAAAATGTTTTTATGATGTTGTTGGGCATTGGATTGTTGCCTTGTGAACCGCCTTGAGTCGCCTGCGGGCTGAGAAGGGCGGTATATAAATATAGCAAATAAATAAATAAATAAATAAATAAATAAATAAATAAATAAATAAACCTACCATAGATGCAGGGAAAACGTCAGGAGAGACTGCTTCTAGAACATGGCCATATAGCCCGAAAAACCTACAACAACCCATCCTATATCTTTGTCTCTATCTCTATCTATATAAATAAAAATATAATGTTCGTTTGTGGGATTAACATAACCAAAAACCACAGGAAAAATTGACACCAAATTTGGACACAATACACTCATCAGCCCAATGAGTGACCATTGCTCATAAAAAAATATGGAAAAACAGAGCAGAAGAGACTAAAAAAGCCGAAAAACAAAAAAAATACTGTTGGGAATCAGCCTGTTTGTGTTTCAGGATCCTGATGTGGGAAATGAGGGAAATGATGGTGCCGAGGCTGAGGTATAAGATGGAGATTGTTTAGTCAATGATTTTCAGGCAGACAATGACAGAGGGACCCCACTGCAGAGGACAGTTTCTCATGAGAATATCTCTGGGCCTAGCAATGATGGTTCACTCCCTTTCTCTGTGAGCTCTCAAGATTTGGGTTTGGAAAACAATCTGACAAGTGGGAATTTTAATGAGCAGCCAGAGCAGCCAGATAAGGAGCTGAAGAATAAACGGCTGAGATTAGCCAGGATCAGCAACAATCTCAGTATTTACGTCGCGCCAAAAAGCTGTGTCTGATAAAGGGAAAATGTGGAGGGAAACAAAACTGATTTCTGAGTTTTGGAATATAAAGTTTGCTTCAAGGGAAAACCTGTCAGATCAGGCATTGTTTGGAAACCAAGTTCTTGTGCCATGGAAGTCTTTTTCAAGGGATCTTGTTTCTGTGGAGTTTTTTAGCCTTTTGGATTGTCTTTGCATCCTGCTTGATTCATGTCCAGATTTATGCTGTCTTGGATTGCCTGTATTTCATGTGTGAACATTGCTTTGGGTTACTACTGTTTATGGACTAATACTTTTTGGAACCTTCTGATTTTCTTACAAGCATTTATTTCTTCTGGCTATTTACTAAGCTTCAATAAAAGGAGATTTGATTCTTCACTCTTCGTGTGGTGTGTTTTATGTCAGAGGGCTTCTTCTGGACCTGGAGTGCAACAATTACAAGGCATGCGCAAAACCACATATATACACATATACACAAATATATATACACACAAAACACATATACACAGACTGGGCTATAGCAACGCGTGGGAGGGGACGGCTAGTATCTATGTAATTGAAAGTATAAATGTATGTATGTTTGTTCTACAAAGTCTCCTATATGTCTTGATGGATTGAGTCCACATTTGGTACATATACCCTTCATAATCCAGATTTTTTTTTTGTCGTGTCAGGAGCGACCTGAGAAACTGCAAGTCGTTTCTGGTGTGAGAGAATTGGCTGTCTGCAAGGACGTTGCCCAGGGGATGCCCGCATGATTTGATGTTTTATCATCCTTGTGGGAGGCTTCTCTCATGTCCCCGCATGAGGAGCTGGAGCTGATAGAGGGAGCTCATCCGCCTCTCCCCAGATTCAAACCTGTGACATGTCGGTCTTCAGTCCTGCTGGCACAGGGGTTTAACCCACTGTACCACCGGGGGCTCTCATAATCCAGATACATACTCTAGTTTCAAATTAATGAATAACCAACACAGTTTCCCCCTAAATGTGGCAAGTGAGAGCACAAGGAGACAGGTTAAGCAAATGCACACAATGACTGAATTGTACGAAAGCACCAACTATTGCATCATATAGTTTTGTGTTTTTATTATAGACTTCTTTTTATCCACATGAATGTTAAAGAAACTACAACAGAGTTAAATACCTTTTTTTAATCTCAGTGGTTATATTTTTTTTTAATTACACTCAATAATAAATTGTAAAATATTTCCAGAAGAGTACAATCTTCATTCATACAGCAGGCAAAATACCAGGAGAGAATGGACAGAGTCTGGGAAGGGACGAGGGAATTGTTTTGGGTTGGGCTGGAATGGATGTATGGGATCCTTGAAGTTTCCAGGTTGCTTTCAGAAAGCCCTGGATATGGCTAATGCTCTTCCATTGGGACTTCTTGATGTAATGCTTGCCCATGATTGTTGTTGTTGAGTTTTGTTTTTCTGAATCACATTACTCTCCAGAAAAGAATCACTTTCCAAAAAGCAAAATAGCATAACTCTAAAACGCTTTTCATGGCATAGGACGGAGAGGTGCCAGGGAGTTCTTTGCATGGGTTTATCCACACGACCAGGTCAAAAGCCTTTTCACAGTTTCTATCAAGTTCAGGAGAAGTCCTTCTAAAAACACCAAACCGAACTTTGGTACCACCGAAAAGATCCAAGACAAGCATTCTTGAATGTGTTCCATTTCCCCCTTCCTTTTCTGTTGTCTTAAAAAAATCAATAAATGGCTGCTACATTCTAATTTACATGGGTTGTCCATGAAGCTTTGAGGTCACTTGTCCTTAGGTTGAGTGGAACCTGGTTTATTTCTTTGTTCCTTTTGTTTTTGTTTTATACCCAAAGCCCTTCCATTTTCAGTCTTTAGGTAAGTCTGAATTCAGAGTGATGGGTGGTATCTTACAAGAAGTTCTGATGCACCTGCTGTAAAGAGAAAGAAAAGAAAACATTACCAAACTCTGAACCCGTTGGTTGGAGCAAGTTGGACATCTTATCACAGAAACTGCATTGAATGGAATTATATGACAGTGCACCCTCCCATTGAAGCCAGCCAACCCAAGTGTAACTGAATCCATATTGGACTGCACCTCCCAGCAATAAGAAAACTTTTAATAAAACTTTATTTATACCCCGCTCCATCTCCCCAGGGGGACGCAGTGCAGCTTACATGAGGCCACACTCAACAATACAGTAACACAATATAACACAAAAGCATAACAAACCAGAAAATAAAATACATAAATGCAAACCAATATAATATGCGAAGAGCAAAAGCAAATCAAACAATAAAACAGAGAAGATTAGGCTAGGCAGGGCCGAACTCAACGATACATTTTTTTAAAACACTGGGAGATAGGACAATATAAATTATCGGGAGGAGGATCCGGGGATAAGGAAGGATTTAATTGCACAAACCATAACATAAGGTCATTCTGAGGTCATTTTATGCAAAGTTTGGTCAGGGAGTATCTTACATTCAATAACTGATGCCACATTGGAATTACCAGGTTTTTCAGGTTCCTCCTGAAGATTGCCAGCATGGGGGCTTGCCAAATCTCTCTGGGGAGTGAATTCCAGAGCCAGGGGGCCACCACAGAGAAGGCTCTCTCTCTCGTCCCCACAAGTCTCACTTGCGATGCAGGCATGAGTGAGAGAAGGGCCTCTTCAGAAGATCAAAGAGTTGTGTGGGTTGGTAGATAGAAATGCGGTCGCGCAGGTAGGTGGGTCCCAAACCGTTCAGGGCTTTGTAGGTCAAAACCTGCACCTTGAATTGGGCCTGGAAAATAAACAGCAGCCAGTGGAGCTCCTTAAACAGGAGGGTTGACCACTCTCTGTAATTCGTACCAGTTAATAGTCTGGCTGCTGCCCGTTGGACCAATTGAAGTTTCTGGGCCATCTTCAAGGCCAGCCCCACATAGAGCGTGTTGCAATAGTCCAATCTAGAGGTAACTAAGGCATGGACCACCATGGCCAAATCCGACTTCATGAGGTATGGTCGCAGCTGGCGCACAAGCTTCAATTGTGCAAAGGACGTCCCAGCCACCGCCGACGCCTAAGCTTCGAGCGTCAGCGCTGAATCTACGAAGACACCCAAGCTGCGGTCATTGGCAGTGCCAGTCAGGGCTAGTGGAAAGTTCCAGCTCAACAATATCTAGAAGTGTTGCCGAAGGCTTTCATGGCCAGAATCACTGGGTTGCTTTGAGTTTTCCAGGCTGTATGGCCATGTTCCAGAGGCATCCTCAGAAGTTGTGAGGTCTGTTGGAAACTAGGCATGTGAGGTTTATATATCTGTGCAATGTCCAGGGTGAGAGAAAGAACTCTTGTCTGTACAAATGTTGCAATTGACGACCTTGATTAGCATTGAGTAGCTTTGCAGCTTCAAAGCCTGGCTGTTTCCTGCCTTGGGAAATTCTTTGTTGGGAAGTGTTAGCCGGCCCTAATTGTTTCACGTCTGGAATTGTTCATAGCAGAGCACATGATGAACCAACCTGGACACAGCATTGTATTATGCCTGGCTCGAGAGCAGTACGTGTGAAAAAGATCTTGGAGTCCTCGTGGACAACAAGTTAAACATGAGCCAACAATGTCATGTGGCAACAAAAAAAAAGCCAATGGGATTTTGGCCTGCATCTATAGGAGCATAGTGTCTAGATCTAGGGAAGTAATGCTACCCCTCTATTCCGCCTATGTTAGACCACACCTGGAATATTGTGTCCAATTCTGGGAACCACAATTCAAGAGAGATATTGACAAGCTGGAATGTGTCCAGAGGTCTAAAATGATCAAGGGTCTGGAGAAAAAGCCCTATGAGGAGCTGCTTAAGGAGCTGGGCATGTTTAGCCTGAAGAAGAGAAGGCTGAGAGGAGATATGATAGCCATGTATACATATGTGAGAGGAAGTCACAGGGAGGAGGAAGCAAGCTGTTCTCTGCTTCCCTGGAGATTAGGATGCGAAACAATGGCTTCAAACTACAAGAAAGGAGATTCCATCTGAACATGAGGAAGAACTTCCTGACTGTGAGAGCCGTTCAGTAGTGGAACTCTCTGCCCCGGAGTGTGGTAGAGGCTCCTTCTTTGGAAGCTTTGAATGTAATATTCCTGCTTCTTAGCAGGGGGTTGGACTGGATGGCCCATGAGGTCTCTTCCAACTCTATGATTCTATGATTCCATTGGAGAAGCTTTGCAATGCTAATCAAGGTAATTAACTGCAACATTCACACTTGCCTCCAATCGAAAGGAGTTCTTTCTCCCACCCTGGACATTCAACAGATATATAAACCCCACTTGCCTAGTTTCCAACACACCTCACAACCTCTGAGGATGCCTGCCATACATGTGGCAAAATGTCAGGAGAGAATGCTTCTGGAACATGGCCATGCAGACTGTTAGGAATTGTGAGAGTTGAAGTCCAAAACACCTTGAGGGCCCAAGTTTGCCCATGCCTGGGATAGATAGAAGTCCAGTGAAGACTTGAGGATTGCCACTTCTGAATAAGGAGCAACACACTGTCTTCATTAGAGTGGCGTCCAGAACTGTTTGGGTTTGCACAGTGAGCCTGACCACAGTTTCCGAACACTAGACAGTCACCAACATGTTGCTGATGAGGAAAAAGAGCAGGATTGGTCCAGGTATGGGTGGTGTGGTGTGGATAGGACTCCCACCAGCAATGTATACTTAGTCTCCATGGATGCAGAATAACCCATACATGTCAGTCAGAGAGAAAAAGAAATAACTTATGGTAAGCTGGATCTTGCAGGAGTCTCTATAAAGCCTAGACTCTCAGCTTTACTGATTTGTGGTTCACGGGAGAATACAGCCATATCGGACTCCAAAGCAGCTTTGTCTCTTTGGCCGGGGCTTACAGAGAATCGGAAACTGTTTCTAAAAACTACCGCTAAAAAAAATCCATGTCTTTCCCTGCTTGGTTGCTTTGGTTAATCATTTAAGTGAACACTAATCTCAGAATAGCAGCGCAGTTTGCTTTACAGAAACAATCTCAGCTGCCGGTCAAAAAGGCATGTGTCAAGGCAAGAGACACAGCATGAGAAATGTGTTCCCAGTGCTGTTCACTCTGTATGAAGACCTAAGCACTGGGTTCTTTTTTTCAGCCTTCATTTTTGGCCTACTTATTATGTATTTAACTAATTTCTGTCCTGCCTTTCTCACAGTCTGGGCTATCAGACAGCTTGTGGATGCTGGGGCATTCTGTCCCTTTATTTATTTATTTATTTATTTATTTATTTATTTGCTGCATTTGTTGACCGCCGCTCTCAGCCCTAGGGCGACTCGCGGCGGTGTACAACATATAAAAACAGTTTACAATAAAGCACAACAAGAAATCAACATATCAATAATACACGTTAATCTAAATTACACTAACTAATCCGCACCGTCACAACATAGAATCATAATCAATCTCATAGTCCATATTCCGTTCCAGTTGTCATTACCAGTTAATGTAGCACTCAGTTAAATGCCTTCTCAAATAGCCAGGTCTTTAGGCTCTTACGGAAAGCCATAAGGGAGAGCGCCTGTCTGATGTCAACAGGGAGGGTGTTCCACAGCCGGGGGGCCACCACCGAGAAGGCCCTCTCTCTCGTCCCCGCCAGACGTGCCTTTAGGGCAAGGGTTCTCAACCTTCCTAATGCCACGACCCCTTAATACAGTTCCTCATCTTGTGGTGATCCCCAACCATAAAATTATTTTCATTGCTACTTCGTAACTGTAATTTTGCTACTGTTATGAATAGTAATGCAAATATCTGATATGCAGGGTGTATTTTCATTCACTGGACCAAATGGCACAAATACCCGATATGCCCAAATATGTATACTGGTGGGGTTGATGGGAATTGATTTTGTCATTTGGGAGTTGTAGTTGCTTGGATTTATAGTTCACCTACAATCAAAGAGCATTCTGAACTCCATCAAACTGGGCACACTGAACTCCCATGACCAACAGAAAATACTGGAAGTGTTTGGTGGGCGTTGACCTTGAGTTTTGTAGTTGTAGTTCACCTACATCCAGAGAGCACTGTGGACTCAAACAATGATGGATCTGGACCAAACTTGGTATGAAACTCAATACACCCAAATGTGAACACTGGTGGAGGTTGTGAAAATAGACCTTGACATTTGGGTGTTGTAGTTGCTGGGATTTATAGTTCACCAACAATCAAAGAGCATTCTGAACCCCACCAAGGATAGAGTTGGGTCAAACTTCCTACACAGAACCCCATGATCAACAGAAAATACTGTGTTTTCTGATGGTCTTTGGCAACCCCTCTGAAACTCCCTCATGATCCCCTCACCTTGGGGTCCTGACCCCCAGGTTGAGAAACCTCCAAGTCTTAGGAATTGTGGGAGTTGAAGTCCAAAACATTTGGAGGGCCCAAATTTGCCCATGCCTGCTATATAGTGAACTTTTGACTGTGTATTTCGGTGAGAACTTTACATTAGATATATACAGAATTCCTAGTGTTCTTTGTTCCAAACGCTCAAATGTTCACCAAGACACCATCCAAAGTTGTATAGTGAATTTAACACTCGCTACAACATCCAACAACAGTGACAACTGAGTTTCTAATGCACTCATGCTTGCTCACCTTTTAGCTTTTGCTGAGATGTGCTCCGAGTTTTTCTTTCCTGATCAAGCTTGCTGCATAGGGAATCTGCAAAGAACACAGAAAGCCAGAAGGTGAAGATGTGATGCAAGCAACCATGAAAATGAACAAAATCTGGCTACCAATATTAAAAAACTCTAAAATTACAACAGCAAAACAACAGAGAGTAAACAATTAGGCACATCTAATCACCTCTCAACAAAAGATTCCCCCAGGCACTGCCAAGCCATCAAATGCTAATCAAGGTGGTCAGTTGAAACATTCACACCTAGCTCCAGCAGACAAGAGTCCTTTGTCTCACCCTGGTCATTCCACAGATATATAAACCCATTTTCCTACTTCCAACAGACCTCACTACCTCTGAGGATGCTTGCCATAGATGCAGGCGAAACATCAGGAGAAAATGCCTCCAGAATATGGCCATATAACCCAGAAAAACCTACAACAACCCAGTGATTCTGGCCATGAAAGCCTTCGACAATACATATTACAAGATTCCCTTCAATTTGCCACTTAATTCACTCATATTGCAGGAATTGCACAACAATAAGCAAACTTTACAACAGGGTCATAGTTGGTTGCACAGTGTTGGAACTTTTGTTGAGTTCCAGGGCCAGAGAAGCAGATGGCGGAAACAGAAGAATGGCCTGCCTCAGGGGAGCGTGCTTGCTCCATCCATGTTCAACATCTACACAAATGACCAGCCACTGCCAGAAAGGACAGAGAGTTTCATCTATGCTGATGATCGTGCCATTACCGCTCAAGCAAGGAGCTTTGAGATGGTTGAACAGAAGCTCTCCGAAGCTCTAGGTGCTCTAACTACCTATTACAGGGAAAACCAGCTGATCCCTAATCCATCTAAAACACAGACATGTGCCTTTCACCTTAAGAACAGACAAGTATCCCGAGCTCTGAGGTTCACCTGGGAAGGAATCCCACTGGAGCATTGCAGCACACCCAAATACCTGGGAGTCACTCTGGACCATTCTCTGACCTACAAGAAGCACTGCCTGAACATCAAAAAGTGGGTGCTAGAAATAATATCATACGAAAGCTGACTGGCACAACCTGGGGATCACAACCAGACGCAGTGAAGACATCTGCCCTTGCGCTATGCTACTCTGCTGCTGAGTACGCATGCCCAGTGTGGAACACATCTCACCATGCTAAAACAGTGGATGTGGCTCTGAATGAGACATGCCGCATTTTCACAGGGTGTCTGCGCCCTACACCACTGGAGAAATTACACTGCTTAGCCGGTATTGTACCACCTGCACCACCTGACCTGGGAAGTAGCAGCCAACAGTGAAAGGACCAAGGCAGAGACATCTCCAGCTCATCCCTTGTTTGGTTATCAGCCAGCACGTCAATGACTCAAATCAAGAAATAGTTTTCTTAGATCTACAGAGACACTCGCTGGAACACCTCAGCAAGCGAGAGTTCAAAAGTGGCAGGCCCAAACCCAGCACCTCAATCCGTGGGTGATACCAGATGAGAGACTTCCCCCTGGGCACACAGAGGACTGGGCGACTTGGAAGGCGCTGAACAGACTGCGCTCTGGCACCACAAGAGCCAATCTTAAGAAATGGGGCTACGAAGTCGAATCCACGACATGCGAGTGTGGAGAAGAGCAAACCACAGACTACCTGCTGCAATGCAACCCTGCCACATGCACAATGGAGAACCTTCTTGCAGCAACACCAGAGGCACTCCAATTGGCCAGATACTGGCCAAAGGACATTTAATCAGCTACCAAGTTTGCAAAATTTGTGGGTTTTTTTATCTGTTTGTTTGTTTTGTTCTGTTAGAAATGTAATACAATGTTCTGGTTGCGGATGACACGATAAATAAATAAGTGTTGTTCTTCAGCAGAAAGATTCTGTAATGTCATCAAGTAACTACTTGCACATAGGTTTACACTATGTAATGTGATATAGGATATCAGCAAGAATCTCACTGCATTGCCTTCAACAAGTAGTTCCCACATCTGTTGTCTGCAACCTCACTTTGTTCGGGAAGATAATTTCCTGTGGCAAGGGATGTGCAACAGAGGAGAAAGGCTGTCTTGCCAATTTCCCAATTACTGGGGAGGCCAGGAAAGTCATTCGTTCAGGAAGTCGTAAAAAGCTGCGGACAAAAAGCCGAAAATGAAAGCTATCGATCCAGTATTATTTCAGTCTCCAGATTTACACTGTTTGCTTGCTGGAGTCCTGGAGGGTGTAGTAATGACTCGGAGGCAGAAGAGGGCACTGGGAGACCGAGATGTTACACAAGGCGCATTCCAGTTCTTTACCCCTCCACCTGCAGGTCCAGAACACCACAAAGCAATGGGATTGTGTGGCCTGCGCTGCAAGACATTTCTCCTACCCCATGTCCATCTGGACATGCTTCCCTCAGAACTTATGGTGGTCAATTGACCAGGAAACAAGTTTCCTGTGCTCTACTACACTTTGTAGTCATCAACTGACAATACTTTGCACTGAATGAAAACTAAAGAAGGATAAGCCAAAAGTGAATGGGCTTTTTAGTTATTTCATAGATCACTGAAGCCTTGGATTCTCTAAAATCTAAGGGGGATGCTGAAAGGGTCCTCATGGACAACAAGTTAAACATGAGCCAACAATGTGATGTGGCAACAAAAGCCAATGGGATTTTGGTCTGCATCAATAGGAGTCTAGTGTCTAGATCCAGGGAAGTCATGCTACCCTCTATTCTGCCTTGGTTAGACCACACCTGGAATATTGTGTCCAATTCTGGGCACCACAATTCAAGAGAGATATTGACAAGCTGGAATGTGTCCAGAGGAGGCGACTAAAATGATCAAGGGTCTGGAGAACAAGCCCTATGAGGAGCGGCTTAAGGAGCTGGGCATGTTTAGCCTGAAGAAGAGAAGGCTGAGAGGAGATATGATAGCCATGTATAAATATGTGAGAGGAAGCCACAGGGAGGAGGGAGCAAGCTTGTTTTCTGCTTCCCTGGAGACTAGGACACGGAACAATGGCTTCAAACTACAAGAAAGGAGATTCCACCTGAACATGAGGAAGAACTTCCTGACTGTGAGAGCCGTTCAGCAGTGGAACTCTCTGCCCCGGAGTGTGGTGGAGGCTCCTTCTTTGGAAGCTTTTAAACAGAGGCTGGATGGCCATCTGTCAGGGGTGATTTGAATGCAATATTCCTGCTTCTTGGCAGAATGGGGTTGGACTGGATGGCCCATGAGGTCTCTTCCAACTCTTTGATTCTAAATTCTATGATTCTATGTAAGCGTAGGCAGACTGAACTTCCATAGATCTGACTCATATAAAGTGCTAAGTACCAGGCACTGAGAGCCAGTGTGACATAGTGGTTTGAGCATTGGAGTATGGGCCCTTCTACACTGCCATATAATCCAGATTATCAATTCAGACAATCCACATTATCTGCTTTGAACTGGATTATCTGAGTCTACACTGCCATATAATCTGGATTATCTGAGTCTACACTGCCATATAATCGAGTTCAAAGCAGATAATCTGGATTTCACATGGCAGTGTAGAAGGGCCTATGACTCTGGAGTTCAATTCATTGCTCAGCCATGAAAACCCACTGGGTTATTTTTGTTGAGTCTCTGGCCTCTTCTAAACTGCCCTATATCCTAGGACAGTGATGGGCAACCTTTTGAGCTTGGTGTGTCAAAATTTGCCAAAAACCTGAGCATAACTTGGGTGGGGGGTCAACTTCGAGAAAAAAAAACACCATAATTTGGCAATATTTATAGTTTAAATAAGAAAAATGTATATTCCATGCTGAGTTATGGAGTGAACAATGCTCAAACGTGCAGATGTTAAATTTGTAGAGCCTTTTACAAATTTAAGGATGGAATTAGATTGGCTCTTATAAGGTGTACTTCTCTATATGTGGTCACATGTGTCTGCGTGTCATCAAAAATAGTCATGTGTGTCAGTGCTGACACGCATGTCATAGGTTCACCATCAGGGTCCTAGGATCTGATCCCAGATTATTTGCTGCAGACTGGATTATTTGAGTCTCCACTGCCAGATAATCTGTGATAAGAAGATAATCTGGGATTAGATCCTGGGATATAAGGGCAGAGTGGAAGGGGCCTCACACTCTCAATCCCATAAAATCTGGATAGGTTCTTAGGATCAGCATGAATTGGAAGCAACTTGAAAATACGCAACAAGCAGCGGTTGGTGCACTTATTAATTTAGTAGGAAAGTAAACAAAAGGGAATTGCAAGTATGTGTTGTCGCATGGAATGAATGGGGATAGAAAGAATACCATGGCCATTGGCCTTCCCATTTCAGGGATTCTGAGAGATACAGCCCCCAAGGGTATTTTCTAAGCCAGTGGTTCTCAACCTTGGGGCCCCAGATGTTTTGGCCTACAACTCCCAGAAATCCCAGCCAGTTTACCAACTGTTAGGATTTCTGGGAGTTGAAGGCCAAAACATCTGGTGACCCAACTGGTTGAGAACCACTGTTCTAAACTCTGCGTCCACTCCATTCCCTGATAACAGCCAATATTCTGGCTCACTCCTCAATGTTCTGTGTTTCCTTCTTCCAAAATATCCTCCTCCCAACATTTCTTTTTAGTGTCTGCAAAATTCTGATTTTTCTTGAAGATTATGAATAATAGAATCATAGAATCAAAGAGTTGGAAGAGGCCTCATGGGCCATCCAGTCCAACCCCATTCTGCCAAGAAGCAGGAATATTGCATTCAAATCACCCCTGACAGATGGCCATCCAGCCCCTGTTTAAAAGCTTCCAAAGAAGGAGCCTCCACCACACTCCGGGGCAGAGAGTTCCACTGCTGAACGGCTCTCACAGTCAGGAAGTTCTTCCTCATGTTCAGATGGAATCTCCTTTCTTGTAGTTTGAAGCCATTGTTCCTTGTCCTAATCTCCATGGAAGCAGAAAACAAGTTACTCTCTCCTCCCTGTGGCTTCCTCTCACATATTTATACATGGCTATCATATCTCCTCTCATCCTTCTTTCATGAGACTTTCCTTTGTCCATGTGAACAATAAGAGTTTGGCTATGTAAGGAACCATGCTTAGAGTATTATCGTTATTAATAAAAATATGCTATGGGTACTTAGGATGCTTTGCAGGTGCATCTGTTTGTGTTTCTTCAAATTGCTGTAGAAGTATGTTGTCTATCACTCTTCTTAAAGTGCACTCTTAACTGGCTGAGCTGGCCAAGGGCCAGCAAATGCTCTTTTGAATCCAAACTCTTTGTAGATGAAAGATCTAGAAAATTATTCTGAATGACACTTTGCCCTTCTCTAACTTTCTGTCTTGGTTCACAGGCTGCAGGGATTGGAGCACAACTTGACTTGGACATGGCAACACTTTCAAGGAGGAAACTGACACTTGCAAAAATATGCAGCCTCCTTTGTTCTATTGCTTCTTTACCCAATTTGTTTCTTCTGTTGGAAGACCTGTGCCAGTAAAGCAGTTCTGACAGCAGATTGCTCTATAGACAAATCTGGTGACCGAATCAGTAGAAGACCTTTTGTCGAATCCTAATGCCCTATAACTGGGAATGGTGAGACTGTTTTCAAGGAAGAGTGTCTGAATCCTACCAGGCAGGTTGCTACTAATTTTCCCTATTTGCATATACTTTCAGGAGGAGGGAAAATTATTTTCCGTATTGCTGAAACATCTTTAAATATTTTATATGTGCCATCCACTGTCCAATATGCCCAGCACTGTACACTGAGCAAAATCACCAGTCTCTGCACCAGAGGATAAATGGACAGAAATCAGACTTTAGGAATGTACACAAAAACCAGATACAGAACACACCAATTATCCTAAGCACGGCTTTTTTGACCACAGAACAGCAGTCCTTGAAGACAAAAAATGCAAAGGAGGATTGAAAACGAGAAATAGCAGAATTAGGGTAAATCCATCAACAATGGGATAAACAGATACAATGGTCTTCTCCAGCCTCATGAAAGCTGGTTTATCACATGGAATATTGTGTCCAATTCTGGGCACCACAATTCAAGAGAGATATTGACAAGCTGGAATGTGTCCAGAGGAGGGCAACTAAAATGATCAAGGGTCTGGAGAACAAGCCTTATGAGGAGCGGCTTAAGGAGCTGGGCATGTTTAGCCTGAAGAAGAGAAGGCTGAGAGGAGATATGATAGCCATGTATAAATATGTGAAAGGAAGCCACAGGGAGGAGGGAGCAAGCTTGTTTTCTGCTTCCCTGGAGACTAGGACACGGAACAATGGCTTCAAACTACAAGAAAGGAGATTCCATCTGAACATGAAGAAGAACTTCCTGATTGTGAGAGCCGTTCAGCAGTGGAACTCTCTGCCCCGGAGTGTGGTGGAGGCTCCTTCTTTGGAAGCTTTTAAACAGAGGCTGGATGGCCATCTGTCAGGGGTGATTTGAATGCAATATTCCTGCTTCTTTGTAGGGGGTTGGACTGGATGGCCCATGAGGTCTCTTCCAACTCTTTGATTCTATGATTCTATCTCTTTTCTGGTTCCTGGCCAGTATCACACTACAATCCAACAACTACCTCCACTATTCCTATGGTTATCTATTCATCTTGACATTATGCAACATCCTCTCTTCTGTCTATGTCCCCTAATGACTGTCTTTAAAACTGAACTTGTCACTTCATCATCATAACCACAAGTTTTACCATTCATAGCCTATTCACACACACAACCTACCTCCAGAAGTTTGTTCCTAGCTTTTCACTCCATGCATTTGGGGAGGTAGAGCTGGCCTATGAAAGCTTATGCTTCTATGTTCTCTCTGTTGGCCTCTAAGATACTACCAGATCCTTTCATCCATTCTTCCATTTGAAGATGCTTACAAGAACAACATGCACTTAAGTCTTCCATGTGTTTAATATTGATTACTCTCCAATAAATGCATAACATAGGATAGAGGCACTATCAGAGAGGCACAATTACCATCTCTTCCTTAATACTTATGGGCATATATACATTGATCATGTGTGATTTGATAATATCTAAAGAAGCTCAATTACATGGAAGTCTTATTGGTTTCCCCAGATCTTTTGCAAGATAATAAAGATGCGGGAAGGTGGGTTTCAAAGTGAAGAGTCTGTGAGTGATCTGAGAGAATTGCAGGCAGTGGAGGCTGATGTTTGGGATTCCTCAGCTTGTCCCAGGCAACAGAAAATGAAAATACCACTTCCCTGGAGAAATGGCCTTGGGCAGATGGGGAGGTTTCACAGGAACTTAGACTTGGAAACACAGGGAGTGAAAAACAGGCAAACTAGATATTCTCAGAGAATTCAAGATAAGACACCAAAGTGCAGATGTGTGAGGCATGATGTCATGGGTGTCTTAGAAAGTTTAAATAAAGTGGTTTGGTTTCAGGCCTCTCAGAGGAGACAACGTTTCTATAGGAGATTGTTCTCCTGTGTCTGCGCTCAAGTCCTTGGTGCAAGTATTCTCAAATTTCCTTTTTTTGCCTATGCCTCTGTTTCCTTGGAGAGTTTACCATGGAAAAGTTCCTGTTTTTATGTTCATGGATTTATGTCTGAAGTACTGCTGTGGATTTTGGTTTCTTTGGCTTTATGTTCCCTACCGTTTGTGAATTACTGCACTTTTGCATTTCAAGTCTTTTCATTTTTGGAGTATTGCTATTTTGTATTTTCTATTTTACTGATCCTTTTGGAATTGCCCTTTTTCCTTTTTTATTTACTTTCTTTAATAAAAAAATTAGATTGAATTACCGGACTCTGGTGTGGTGCCGGGCGAGAGGGTGTTCTAGTGCTGGAGTGCAACTTCCTCCCCATTCCAAATTAGTATTGCATTGCTATCAATATGTTGAAAAGTGGGGAACTTTAATCTTAATATTTTTAACAAGGGAAGATATCTTACGATTTGTAATTGTTGAACCATTTCTTCTCTGTAGGCCAATTCACGCTTCATCTGATCTTGAAAATTATCTTGGGAAAGAGGAAAGAAAAGAAAAAAATGTAGAAAATAATGCTAACTGAAGGATTTGAATTACAAACAACCAAGCAACCAAATCACGCAGGTAGCTAATTCTGAAAAATATATCTGTTTGTTCCATCTCTGAAAATGTTGCATTGGTGGAGGAACTGAATATTTGCTATTGAAAACAGCAAAAGTTACTAAATTAAACATGTACAGTTACAAGATCACAATAAGCCATTGTGTTGCACAAAGCAAAAATGTTAAGCTGCCATTTTGAACAGTTCAGGAGAAATGGAAAGTCTACATACAATGCAACCCTGTATATGTCTTCAACAGTAGCACTCAGACCCCTTCTAAATTACTATATAACTCCAAATTATCTTCTTTGAACTGGATTATATGGCAGTGTAGACTCATATAATCCAGTTCAAAGCAGATAATGTGGATATTAAAAGATATGTAGAACTTTACCCTGAACTTAGTAACGTTTACTTCTAAGCAAACGCACAATGCATTGAGCTATGTGCATGCTCAGCTATAAACCTAGGCATGTTTACTTATGGGTTCTCATTCATAACTGGGATTCAGTTCTGATTACATGTTTCTAGGATCAGTTTCCAAAAGCAGGAAGCAATCCCCGTGATTGTTTATAGCCTGGCATTCGTTTTTCTTAATCTAGAGCAAAATTGACCACTGCTTTGTGGTAGATGACGGGAAGACCACACATTCTTCAAGCTGGCAAACGCTTCTGCCACCGCTTCCTTGGTCAGCAGTACACCGCCATCTGTTTCCATTTGAGTTGACTTTTGTGTGGTTTCATTGCACGCTGTATTTACAGTAACGGGGAGGCGAGTCTTAAATTTTACTGTGGTGCAAAAGGATACAGGTGGAAATGACTATGGCAAATTTCCAAGCCACCGCACTGACATCACCTGGCAGGTAACTAATGTATGGTGATGCTTGCTAACCAACCTCTTACCAAGCAATTCAAATTTCCTTGTCTGGGATGATTTTCATTTCTTTTTACTGATATGACCCTCCATGTGGTCTTTCCGATGGCAGGATGAATTATGTTGCAGATTTTAAATTGCATTGTTTTGAATGTTGTGAGCTGCGTTGTGTCTCAATCAAGAGATACAAGCAGAACAAAAGTCAGAAAACCATAAATTAAAGAGAAGGTTTACTCTCCATTTGGGCAGTGCAAAGTGCAATAAGATTTAATGTATATGGTATACAATAATGTATATACAATATGTATAATGTAATGTATACAATAATGTATATTGTTTTCAATGTTTATTTATGTTTTATTGATTGCTTATAATGTTTTATACCTGTCCCTTTGATGTTGTTGATTTTGTATTGCATTTTAACATATTCGAAGCTGCTTTGGGTCCCTTTGCAGGAGAAAAGCGGCATGTAAATAAAGTTGTTGTTGTTGTTGTTGTTGTTGTTATTATTATCAAAGAAAAATTTTTTTTCAACCTGAGAGAAAATTCCTCTAGAAATTTCAAGGTCTTTCAGTATTACTCTGTGGTTGACTTCTGCTGGAAGCTGACAACAGAGATGCATTGGAAGATTTAGGCTGGATCTACACTGCTGCATATCCCAGGATCTGATCCCAGATTATCTGCTTTGAATTGGATTATATGAGTTTACACTGCCAGATAATCTGGGATAAACAGATAATCTGGGATCAGATCCTGGGATATAGGGCAGAGTACACTGCCTTGCACAGCTATGTAGTCCAGACTATCCAATCAGATAAACTATATTATCTGCTTTGAACCGGATTATATGTGTCTACACTGCAAGATAATCTGGGATATTCAGGATAGAGGGTTTAGGATCAGATCCTGGTATATACTCATATAATCCAGTTCAAAACAGATAATGTGAATAATCAATATTATCCAATCAGATTATCCACATTATCTGCTTTGAACTGGATTGTATAAGTATACACTGCCACATAATGACGATAAGCAGATATTCTGGGTTCAGATCCTGGAATTTAGGGCAGTGTACACTGCCTTGCACTGCTATATAATCCAGATTATCCAATCAGATTATCCACATTATCTGCTTTGAACTGGATTATATGAGTCTACATGGCCAGATCATCTGGGATAAGAAGATAATCTGGGATCAGATCCTGGGATATAGGGCAGTGCATATTGCCTTGTTGTTCATTCGTTCAGTCGTCTCTGACTCTTCATGACCTCATGGACCAGCCCACGCCTGTCTGCCGTCACCACCCCCAGCTCCTTCAAGGTCAGTCCAGTCACTTCAAGGATGCCATCCATCCATCTTGCCCTTGGTCGGCCCCTCTTCCTTTTACCTTCCACTTTCCCCAGCATAATTGTCTTCTCTAGGCTTTGCTGTCTTACACTGCCATATAATTCTGACTATCCAATCAGATAATCCACATTATCTGGATTATATGAGTCTACACTGTCAGATAATCTGGGATAATCAGGTAATCTGGGATCAGATCCTGGGATATAGGGCAGTGTACACTGCCTTACACTGCCATATAATCCACATTATCTGCTTTAAACTGGATTATATGAGTCTACGCTGCCATATAATCCAGTTCAAAGCAGATAACCTGGATTTTTATTGCAGTGTAGAAGGGGGTGTAGATTCCACTTTAGAGATTTCTAGAGAGGTTGACACTGGTGAAGCTAGAGATTTTGAATAAGTCAAAACCACAAAAGTAGGGAGATGACTGTATTTAATAATAATGAGATGTCCATCACCAAAACACAGTTTAGGACACAACAAAAGCCACAGGAAAGTCACAATAGGATGGTTCTCCTTACTGAATACTGGGAAAGAGGCCGTTCCTTTGAGGACCTGGAACTCCTGTTCTAGCCTTCTCCGCAGGTCGATCTGTTCAAACAAGACCTTCTGAAGCTCTTCTAGATCAAGAGGAGAAATAGAAAGCCTTCGTTGCTCATCAGCGGAAACAAATCTCCAAAGCCCACTTATCCAGGGAGCTCATAATTTTAAAAAAAAGGGCAAAATATTTGTTGGCACGTGAAGGGTGGCAGTGGCATGATTTCCACAGGCCGGGGATAGATTTTTGTGCAGAAATCCATGAATATAAATCAATGCAATACATTATTTCAAAGTATTATAGCCCAGTGTCACGTATTGATTGATACATATGCATTAATCTCAATTATAGCCGCACAAAAGGTCCATATATTATTCATATGTTACTTGTCAAAGCTTAAAATATGGCGGGGAATAAAAAAAACATATTACCCTCAATTGTCTTCATATATACTACTCAAACAAAGGGATCTATAACAATTTATCTATATATAATTTCTCTCCCCACCCCGCCTTTACCTTTCCCCATGTTTTCGACATCCTTTTTCAGAGAATGAGGTGGATTGGTTTCCTGTATGGGTTCACCTTAATGAAGAGAGAAATACAAAGTTATTGATTTATGCCGAGGCAGCTTCTTATCAGATATCATGTTTCGTTCTGCATCCTCATCTAAAAGAGGGGCGTGCGGAGAAATAGGGCGAAATGTGATTTTAATGTGTGGAAGCCAAACCCTCCTGCTTTCGTTCATTCAGGATCCATCATGGTCTGTGAAAGGAGCATTACGTATCAATGAACTAAAATGTCCCTTTCCCCATTAACCAAAGAAATACCAGGAGTTCCATATTACAAGGGTTGAATGAAAAATAATGCCTCCACCTTCGTAACTCTGCAACAGATGGCAGTACTGTTATCAGGCAGGCACTGGCTTGTTCAGTAGACTCTCCTCTACAGTTCCATTTTGACAGGAAGCCTTAGCATTGAACACTTGTGTTGTTAAAGTGTGAAGTATGGAACCCTGCGCAGACAGTCGGTCAATGCGACTTAAGCAATGTGTTTTCTATACACAATTACTATAATGGTTATTATAGTAATTGTGTATTAATTGTGTATTAGATTAGTTTATTAACTGTTTTATATTGGTGTTGAATTTTGCTGTGTCCTGTGTCTTGTGAACCGCTGTGAGTCGCCCTCGGGCTGAGAACAGCGGTATAGAAGTGAAGTAAATAAAATAAATAAATAAATAAATTTTCTAAGTTTTCTAAGATCTACAGAGACACTCGCTGGAACATCTCAGCAAGTGAGAGTCCAAAAGTAGCAGGCTCAAACTCAGAACCTCAACCAATGACTGATACCTGGGCACGCAGAGGACTGGGCGACTTGGAAGGCGCTGAACAGATTGCGCTCTGGCACCACGAGATGCAGAGCCAACCTTCAGAAATGGGGCTACAAAGTGGAATCCTCGACATGCGAGTGTGGAGAAGAACAAATTACTGACCACCTGCTGCAATGCAACCTGAGCCCTGCCATATGCACAATGGGGGACCTTCTTGCAGCAACACCAGAAGCACTCCAAGTGGCCAGATACTGGTCAAAGGACATTTAATCAACTACCAAGCTTGCAAACTTTGTGTTTTGTGTCTGTTTGTTTGTTTTATTCTGTTAGAAATGTAATATCATTGACTGGTTGCCCTGACACGACAAATAAATAGCAGTGGTGTTGCTGTTCATTCGTTCAGTCAATTCCGACTCTTTGTGACCTCATGGACCAGCCCACGCCAGAGCTCCCTGTCGGCCATCACCACCCCCAGCTCCTTCAAGGTCAAGCCAGTCACTTCAAGGATCTCATCCATCCATCTTCCTTTTTCCTTCCATTTTCACCATCATCATTGTGCTCTCTAAGCTTTCCTGTCTCCTCGTGATGTGGCCAAAGTACTTTGCCTCTACTATCCTTCCCTCCAATGAGCAGTCTGGCTTTATTTCCTGAAGTATGGACTGGTTTGATCTTCTCGCAGTCCAAGGCACTCTCAGAACTTTCCTCCTGCACCACAGTTCAAAAGCATCTATCTTCCTTCACTCAGCCTTCCCTGTGGTCCAGCTATCACATCTGTAGGTGACTATGGGGAATACCATTTCTTTAACTATGCGGATTAAGCAACTATGCGGATTAAGCAGATGTGTAGTGTTGCCAGTTGTTGATGTTCTTATTGTTGTTGGCACAGTTGTTGTTGCTGCTGTAACTATATAGTATATACAGTAAATATGGTGGATGGTACGGCATTGAAGACCTTCTTCACACAGTCTATTCACTATTCATTGAATTCTTGACAGCAGAAGGTGTCACCCCAAAGGAGATTCATCAGAGAATGCAAGCTGTTTATGGTGATTGTTGATGTGAGTACTGTGTGTCGTCAGGTTTAAGGATGTTGAGGTGACACCTTCTGCTGTCAAGAATTCAATGAATGCACATTGCTTAAGTCGCATTGACTGACCATCTGCGCAGGGTTCCATACGTCGCACTTTAATAACACAGCAGTTCAATGCTAAGGCTTCCTGCTAAAATGGCACTGTAGAGAGAGTCTACTGAACAAGCCAGTACCTGCCGCATATCAGTACTGCCATCTGTTGAGGAATTAGGAAGGTGGAGGCATTACTTTTTATTCAACCCTCGTACTAGAGAACAGCTTCCTCTTTAAGCCCATTTTTAAATCTCTTTTCCTCTCCACCAACGTTATGTTTTCTGTTCTTGAGTTCAGAGTAGAGTAACTGCTTTAGGACACAGTGATCAAGCATTTGGACAATGTGACCAGTCCAATGGAATTGATGACTTTTGGGGACAGCCACACAACAACAACATCATCATCAACAACAACATATTGATATGTGAGCAACTGCTTACACATTTTGTCTCTCTCATATGTGTGTGTGTGCGTAGGCTGTGAATTTACATTTAAATTAAAGAATCCACATTGACTTAACCCACTTCCATAGGTCTACTGATTGAGACTTTTGGGGACGGCCACACAACAACAACAACAACATATTGATATGTGAGTATCTGCTTACACATTTTCTCTCTCATATGTGTGTGTGAGTGTAGGCTGTGAATTTACATTTAAATTAAAATTTCACATTGACTTAACCCACTTCCTTAGGTCCATTGATTAAGACTTCTGGGGATGGCCACACCACAACAACAACAACAACAACAACATATTGATATGTGAGTATCTGCTTATACATTTTCTCTCTCCCATATGTGTGTGTGGGCTGTGAATTTACATTTAAATTAAAAATTCCATATTGACTTAGCCCATTTCCATAGGTCCACTGACTGAGACTTTTGGGGATGGCCACACAATAACAACAACATATTGATATGTGAGTATCTGCTTGCACATTTTCTCTCTCTCATATGTGTGTGAGTGAGTGTAGGCTGTGAATTTACATTTAAATAAAAAAATCCACATTGACTTAACCCACTTCCATAGGTCCATTGACTGAGACTTTTGGAGATGGCCACACAACAACAACAACAACATATTGATATGTATCTGCTTACACTTTTTCTCTCTCTTGCTTGTGTGTGTGTGTGTGTGTGTATTTGTGTGGGCTGTGAATTTACATTTAAATTAAAAATTCCACATTGACTTAATCCACTTCCATAGGTCCACTGACTGAGACTTTTGGGGACGGCCACACAACAACAACAACAACAACAACACCTGAAACCCATTCAGATCCTCAGCCAGAATGCCAGGTAAAAGGCTATTCTTTTTCAGACAGCTTAATGCTCAAATAACCAGTTGAGATGTGAATCATCACATTTCTGGAAGTTGCAATTAAAAAAGTAAGTTTCTCAAGCTCTGATCTGATCAGACGGCCTTGGGTTATTCACTAAGGCTAAGCTTAACTGATCTTAGAGTAGAGATAAAATGGAAAGAGAGGAGCTCTTTGGAGGGAGAGCAAGACACAAATCAGCAAAATGTCACTCCAGCACTTATCATGATGAGTTATTGCTACGAGACAAACTTCGGATTCATAGATATTTTAATAATATTTACCGTGGTGGGTTTATTTATTCCTGGTTCCTTGCTGATCAATGCCTGCTTGCATCCATCCTCAGTCTACAGCAATTGTATTATTGCAAATGAAGCATATTCAATAGCAATACTTGAGCTCTCTCCTCTCGATATTCACTGTATTAATGCAATTGAGCTTGGATAACCAGATGGACCTATATGAGTGCCAGCACATCCATTATGCTCAGAAACAAGACTGCAAGAATTCATTCCAGGATGCTGTTTAAAGAGCTCAAGGTTGCTGTCCAGAGCAATTGTTTCGTCAGGAAATACATCCATAAATAACAGCATCAGTCATCCTTTGAAACTGAGCTCCACACCTCTGCAAATTTCTGTGGCTGTATCCTATGAAATCGTTTAATTCTCAATGCCCTGAACTACAAATCCCATGATTTCGTAAGAAGAGCTATAGCAGGCACAGGATGGATCTACACTGCTATATGATCCAGTTTCTGAACCCAGACGATCCACTTTGCACTGGGTTATATGAGTCTAAAGGTTAAAGGTTGTCCCCTGACATTAAGTCCAGTCATGCCTGACTCTGGGGTGTGGTGCTCATCTCCATTTCTAAGCCGAAGAGCCAGCGTTGTCCATAGACACCTCCAAGGTCATGTGGCCAGCATGACCGCATGGAGCGTCGTTACCTTCCCGCCGGAGCGGTACCTATTCATCTACTCACATTTGCATGTTTTCGAACTGCTAGGTTGGCAGAAGCTAGGGCTGACAGCGGAAGCTTCACGCCGCCCCCTGGAATCGAACCTGCGACCTTTTGGTCAACAAGCTCAGCAGCTCAGCGCTTTAACCCACTGCGCCACCGGGTCTAAACTGCCATATAATCCACTTCAAAGCAGATAATCTGGATTCAGAAACTTGATTATGTATACAACAGTGTAGTTGGGGTCAAAGTGGAATCATAGGATGCATCTACACTGTACAATTAATGCAGTTTAACACCTGCTATGACTCAACGCGATGCAACCCTGGGATTTACAGTTTTGAGATATTTGTCCTCCTTTGTCAGAGAGCCACAACAAACTACAACTTCCAAGAGTTCATCGTCATTGAACTACATGCATTCTACAGTGTAGATCAGGCATGGGCAAACTTCGGCCTTCCAAGTGTTTTGGACTTCGACTCCCACAATTCCTAACAGCCTCGGGCTCTTTCCTCCCCCCTCCCCCCCAGACACCTTAACCACATTTTTAATTTTACATCTAATGAACCCATTTCAAAATTTAGATTTACAACACATTTCATTCCCTCTCCAGTTCATAACCATCTGTCTTATGGTTTAATAAATCAGGGTTGTTGGTGATTTTGTTTCACTGTAATTTTGCAAGGTAACTAAAATTGAATGCACCTTAATATGTCCATGCAAACACATTTCAGTGCATATTTAACACAACTGTAGTAAAGCGTAAAACCATTCTTGTATTTCAGTAACTCTGTGTTTTTCCTGATTCCTGATAATTGATTAGAAATATCACTGAGGCAAAAAACTATTTT